ATTTTCAATATAAAACTTGAAGGAAACCAGAAAGACTAATAAAAATTTCATGTATCAAATATTCCCAAGAGTAAGCTGAGCTTTGAATAGCTTCAGCTGGTTGAGTGTTCCATCTGTTCATGTAGCTCGCAAGTGTTATTTGCAGCTTCAGTTTATGACACTACATCTCCAAATATCAATTAACAATCATTCAAATAAAGTTATTGAAAGTTAAGCATACTATCTCATGCAACATATGCAGGATTTTCATGAATCTGCGTGGTTTCGTCTGAGTTTTACATTGAAAACAAGATTCGCATTATTCTTGATATTCATATTCTTGTAGAGCTTGTCAAACTCTATCAAACCATATAAAAGTATCTATTAAAAACATGTAGAAAATAATATTTCGCTCGACTCTAACGACTCAAACATTCAAGACTATTTTTACTTTTTCAAAAAATGTAACGTAAAAATTTTTACTCAATATTAGTAAAATGACCGTAACATTGTTGTAGATATTATCGATTTACTGAGAGGGATCGAAACTTTCTGATCACCCTTTCGCTTTCACTTTGATAAAGAATATCAACATATTGATCAATCAATAAAATCATATTCATCAATAATTTATTCAATAAACAAGAACATAAATAATATTTATCTTTATACTTTATCATATGCATTTACTATTGATTACTGATCTATATTAGAATATATTAATCCTGAGACTCAAACCTATCAATATCATTCTTTATTAAGAAGTTCGAATTGAATTTGAAATATTTCTCGACATCAGATAAAAAAAAAATAGTCATTATATAATTTTGTCAATTAAAATATTGTTCATTTTCCATTGTACAACTTTCCAAAGCATCATAATGAACTTTACTTTAATAATAATCAATGTTTCTTATTGGATTATTCATCATTTGGTACTAATTAACAAACTTTAACAATTGAAAATTAAAAATCGAAAAAAATATACTTGACTTTATTATTACGATGATCAATCTTCGAACATTAACTGTTCGATGTAATGACAACGAATCAAAAAAAAAATTCATAACTTAAAGAATTAACATATATGTGATGAACTCGTCCAATGGTTACATTCTCAATAACCATCCCCTTGAAACGATTACATGATATATATTCTAAGATAATCAATCTATTCGAATATGAATTTTAAATACAATAGCAGTTAGTGACACTTTCATATTAATTGTTGTATTTATAGCGTATCGATCGTGTGCGAAGGTGTCACTAAACTCTGATATCAAAAATGTTAACCAATGAATATAGTAATGAATCCGTCTATTCAGCGATTGGATACTGTTTCGTCGACTTTTTCAAAGAATATATATATAGATAAGACAATGTCTGACCAGCGATCGGTCAACAATAATCTATTCTTTTCTCTACATATATATACAACAATCAATTGCAACCTACGTTATCATATCTTATTTCATTATGTTTAACGCACGTCTTGTTTCGTATATTATTCTTCTATCATTTGTGTTATCATCGTTTGCGGCAATAGAACCATTATGTAAATGGCATGGAACATCTCCATTTTGTTTTTTTCGTAACTCATGTGCAAAAGATTGTTGGCAAGTAACATCTAATAATCGTGGTGATGGTGCAAGATGTTGGTTTGGTATGAAAAATTATTGTTGTTGCGCTAAAAACACTGTTGATTCCATTATTAATACATTAAAATCTAAATGACAAATGTTCATTTTCTATTCTTATGTTTCTTGCTATGTAATTAAATAGTTATTCACTTGTATGTATTATTCATAATAAAACATGTAGTCATTGTATGAAATCTATTAATGATATTGTTTTTTCTTGTAATCCATCGATTATAGATTATTTTAAACAGAGCATTTTTAATCGAATGTAGTTTACAAATTCATAAGATACTATTAACATATAAATATCTTATTTCATCGATATGATGTAGTGAAGAATATAAATTTTTTGTAGATTTTAACTCTTACTTCAAAACAACTTTGTTTTTTTTTTCGAGTGACTTTTACATGATCATGTATGATAAAAAATCAAAATTATTAAGAAAAAATACAAAAAACTTGTTTTCTCAAAATGACTGTTATTCCTATTATTTAAATGCATAATTAGTTTTATGTAAATGTTTAAAACTTGTAGTTCCACTAAGTAGTTGAAATATGGATATTTTAATTATAGAAAAGTTCATCTGTACATCTTGCTTCCTTCATCTAGAAGATTGAGAGATATGCTCTCATTGAGAAATAATATATGAATGTTTTGTTGTATAGATTACAGATATAATTGCTGTTAACAAGACACTGGGTTTGCAGACTACATCAGGCTAACTAAAAGTTTAACTTTTTAAATTCTTTGACTTTGTATTTGTCTACCATTTAATTTTATTTTTTATAAAAGACAAACTTGAATGGACAAATGTTTTTTGTAAGGTTTATATTCATACGGTTCGACTAATTAATTAAAATAGTTGTTCATGAAGAAAATGTTAAATAAGAGAAAGTTTGTCTTTTAACTAAACAATAACAAAGTTTCGTTTCAATTGAAATAAATCAATTGATAATAATTATCTTACCTGTATTTATTCAGTCCATTTACTATAATAAACTATCCTTTAATTATAACCGATGATATTTCTACAATATTACCCATAAAATTCTTATTACATTGCACGAAGTCCAATAACTTTGGTCTAATATCCTACAATCATAGTATTGCGTTCTTCTCGCAAAAAATGATCTGTGATGATAAACAATAAATATAATCTAATTAATGATTAGAAAAAGATGCGATGAACTTTTTTTCTCTAGAATTATTAGTTCATAATATAATTTTGTTTATAAGAAAAAGATTCGATAGGTTTTTCTCATAGAATTACGTGTTAATTTCAATCGCGAACTTTTCTCTGTAATTATGATAGCGTGAAAGCATTATTTTCTTTTTTATCAATGCAAAATGTATAGCTTTTTGGTGTTTTTAATAAACATATCTATCATCATTTACTAGAGCGCTTTATCTGTTGCATTTTTCGAGGTACATAGTTAATCAACGACGCAATACTGTTAGAATATTTGTAGCACGCTGAAGAAAGAAAATAACGATTATATATATATACTGTTAACTTACACAACCACTTGTATGTCTTCTTCATTTCTATATTTAAAGAAATCAAACTATACATCGATTTGTATGAGTTTTTTGCAATAATATATGTAGACTATTTTAATAATATAATATTTTATTTTTAAGATTAACTATGACTTCATTAAAAAAAACAACAACGCTTATTATTCTTCTACTCTTAACAATTGTTCCAAAGTCCACCGATGCATTATGCAAATGGTATGGTATTGCTCCATTTTGTTTTATTGGTAATTCATGTCCTGATGGATGTGCTAAAACATTAGAAAGCAACAAAGGTGATGGTCTTACATGTTGGGTTTCACACAAAAAATATTGTTGTTGTTTACCAGGATTTGTATGATACGAATATATCGAATTATATACAAGATATTCATAAAATATAAACTTATCCTTCGCTTTATTGCTTTAGTTTGCATTAAATATTTACAATGTAGGTTTTGTTGTTCTGAAATAAAAACTCCAGATTTCATCAAAATTTGGAAAATGCTAAGATAAATCAACAAAGAAGTCTATATGAAACGAATGTTATAGATGTAATGCATCAGAAAATGGTTTTAAGATTTAAACATGTTAGATTCATGTGTAAATAAGGGAGTTAGTCAATATTCCATTTATTATCTTATTTTGATTACAAAATATATTAACTGATAATTCAGAAGATATGTTTTTAAAACATTTTCATTTATAATAAAAGAAATTTCATCATGCTTTACAATTTTATTCTGTTAAATTTGTATTTAGAGATGTTCTTATTGATTTCTGTGTCTTATTCAATTAATACTGATATTTTGTGAATTTTTTTATTCATGCACATTAGTTATCTACCGAAAAAAAAAAACGTTGTATATTTTCATTGTATTTTGAATGAATGAATTAATTTTTTTTTCTGATTATATAAGATAGTTTCAAGCTTTTATCCACAAGTTAGCAGCTTATTCGTACGTTTGAAATCTAACACGATCTACGTTAATAGAGAATTTGCCTATTTTTTTTTCGGATTGCTTACATGAATAGCTAACTGTAAAAGAAACACAAAGATATTGAAAAAAATTGTTGATATGTTTCTTTTTAGAGTTCTATGCTCGATAATTTGTCTTTGTAAAAACAAAAGCTTCTATTTTCATCAACAAATAAATGTACTACGATAGAATTTCTGCAAAGCGTCAAATTTTTCTAAAACCTTGAAGTAATTCGATGTTTTCTAGAAATTTGACTCTAGTACCGTTATTTCTACATGAAAAGAAAAATTCTTTTAACAAAAACGAACGATACAAAAAGTTCTATGAACTGAACATTCTAATGAAAAACAAAAAAGCTTGAAACTCTTAATTTATCATTCAGTGAAAATATATAATTTTATTTTCGTAGATAACTTTCTGAACACTTTGTATAGTTGTATCTTATATTCGGCGATGATTATTTCTAATAAATACGTTGTGATAATAAAAATATTATAATAACATGCATTACATGTAAATATCTTATAATATGAAATATGATCTATTCAAACAGAACCCCTCTGTAACTCAAGCTGATGAACGCGTCGAACATAAGCATTAGAAAACAGTTACATTTGTTTGTATTTAAACAGCTGTCATCGACGAAAGTACTAACGAGAGAATCGCTCGAAATGATTAACTATTTTTGAACTCATACTTTGAGCATATGCAGGTGGACTTCTAGATTAGCACAATTCTAGAAGGATTCGTACACATAGACCTTTTGTTCTGAGGTATTGAATTTTCAAGTTACCAAACAACATAGCAATTTTGATTTATACCTAATTTTTCATTTTTTTTTATCTCATCTCTGCGATTCGCAGTAATTTTTCTTGTAAATACAACATTGTCATGTTCATATCAATTCGAAAAATGAGAGACAGAAAGAAATGCGTATAACACACATTTTGTCACGTTCTGTTGAGAATGATGATATCAATTGTTTTGTGAGTACCGTGGGAGATAGGAGTGTACTGTGATGCTCGTCATTACATAGAAGTATTCGTTGTCTAGTAGTTTATTCCTAACTTCACTTTGTGATCAGAATGATGATTGATTTAAATGAAACTATTAACATACATAAAAGCTCGATGCATCATCACTGATATTTACGAGAAAAATGACTGTGAATTACAGAGATGAAATATAAATCTGAAAATTTCAAAATGATTTGCTGATAATATGATTAGTTTATCATAAAATATTCAGCTCTGATTATACTTTCGATTACGAGATAATTTCGATATAAATTAAAATTGCTATGCTACTCCGTAACATGAAAATTCAAAATCTCAGAATAGAAAGGCTATAGACATGAATTCTTCTAAGATTGTAATAATCTAGAGACTTCCTTTATACGACAAAAGTATGAGTTCAAAAGAGGTTAATCACTTCAGCTTGTTCTCTCTTGCGTCTCAAAGACACTAGAAAAAAATACCTGCTACGAGTGTGGCTGAGTGCACAGAGCTTATTTTCACTTGAACCGAAACATATTCTCATCCTTATTTTTATTCTAGTCGAAATTATTGTTTTCCTATTAAGAGATTAGAAAAAAAAACTATTAATAATCTGTTCCGTTTAAAGTTAAAATAATTATCTAATTCTCAATTCTTTTCGCGTATGTATAATATTACTTTAAGAGATTCACTTATCATTGCTTGTTTTTTACAACTTTATATACTTATGATATTTCTAAAGCTGTAGAAAATTTTAATAGAGCAAGACAAAAATCAAAAATTGTCTATATATAAAGTAAAAGATTTATTTCAACAATTAAACTTCTTCTTACAATTCCTACTAATGATGATAGCAAACGGATCATATGCATTAATAGCAATTGTTCTAGTTGGTGTATTCGTAATAATTTCAATCACTGTAAATGCTACTACTTTGGGTATAATCATCAAAAGATTTGATCAATTAAAGAATATTAATGATAATCGAGAAGTAACAACAATAAATCCAATTCCATTAAATTCAAGTTTAGTTGAAGCAATTCGTATAAGTGATGCAATGAAACATTTGAGCGAATTTTATCGTATAGCTGTGATGGAAAATGGTACTCGATCGATTAATACAAGAGGTTTTAATCGAACACTTGATTATATAACAGATTATCTTTCTACGAATACTAATTATCATATAAATAAAACTTATTTTCATGTGAAAACTTTTCAACTTGTTAATAATCCTATATTATTTACTTCAATTAATGGTATAATTACAAATCGTACATATTCAACTGATCTATCTAAAACTGAGTTTTTCTATGTAGAATATTCTACAGCTATCAATTTAACAGATTTTATTACTCTTACTGTTATTCCAAACTTTGGTTGCTTAGATGAAGATTGGATTAGTGCAAATCCATCACCAACTGATCGAATAGTACTTGTCAAACGAGGTATTTGTGATTTTATTCAAAAAGCTGTTTTAGCTACTAAATATCATGCAAAGAGTCTTCTCTTATACAATGATGGTAGATCATCTAGTCGTAATGATCCTCTTGCTATTAGTCTCAGTCAAGCTAATGAAATACCAGCACTTTCTCTTTCCTTTAATCTTGGTCTAGAACTTATTAATGCATTAGAAAATCCAACAACAAATACAAGCGTTCGTATTATCATCGATGTATTTGATAAACCACCATTTCCAGTAGGAAATATTTGTGCTGATACTCCAACAGGTGATGTCACCCAGACAATTGTTATTGGTAGTCATAGTGATAGTGTACCAGTTGGACCTGGTATTAATGATAATGGTGAGTTTTAGAGCTGAAGTAAATAAAATTCAATTAATAAATGTGTTTTCTTCTATTTTTTTTTTCGCATAGGTAGTGGTAGTGCAGCTAATATTGTATTGGCTGTAGCTCTCTTTCAAACATCGATCTATACAAAGTCTAAATATCGCATACGATTTTGTTGGTGGGGTGCAGAAGAAGTCGGTCTTTTTGGTTCAGACTTTTATGTTAAACAAGCCAAAACTTCAACTATCATCGGTGAACGAATCATCGATAATTTAGTAAATCTTAATTTCGATATGTTAGGTTCACCTAATTATGTATTTGGAATTTATGATGGTCAAACAATTACAAAAGTAATATCTGCAAATGCTATTCCGGGTAGTAGTAAAGTTACTTCATTATTTCGTGATTGGTTTAATAGTCAAAAATTACCTTGGGATAATACTACTCTAGGTAGCGGTAGTGATTATGCTTCATTTTTAGCAGCTGGAGTTGCTGTAGGAGGACTTACTTCAGGTGCAAATGGAATAAAAACAAGAGAACAATGTGATCGTTATGCGTCATTTCTTGGTCATGATCCATATTGTATACCAAATATTGCTCAAGATCCATGTTATCATAAATCATGTGATACAATATGGAATCTAAATGTATTTGCTTATGAAAAGATGATACAAGCAGCAGCTCATGTTATTGAATCTTTAGCTCGTATGGATAATTTAAAAGAATGGCTTTATCCAACAAAAGAAATTGAAAATTTGAAATCTCGCTATAGATATAAACGAGAATACAATACAATTAATGAATATTTTGAATTACCTGATGTATAATTTTTGAAGAAAATCTTTGAATAATTTGACTTCAAAAAAATACGAACTGTTTGAAATCTTGCATTCATTTTTTTTATATATTGACATTAAAAAAAAAAGGATTTGTTAGAAATAAAATTATTCTTGATTAGTAATTTATTTTCAACGTAGTGAACAACTTGTAGAGTATCATAATGTCTATACATTTTCTATTATTTTAATAAACATGAAAAAGAACTGTTTAAACAACATGACACAAAAGGTAATCTATTATTTGTAATTTCCTTATGAGCTGAATCTTTTGATCTACAGAATAGATTCAACATTCTTTTATTTTCCAGAGCATTGCGTTCGTGAATAGCTAGTACAGAAAAGAAAGATATTTGAGTTTTTGCCGTATCTTGAAATTCTTTTGGACAAAGCTTCTTATTGTTGTATCAATATTTCTCGAAGTTCACCAAACAAAATTAAAAAAAAATAGCTCACTTGACAAGCCAATATTCTCTGTGGGTCTCCGTTCTAAATAGTTAATTTTTTCTTATTCAAAAGAGTATGTGACGATGCAGAGCATGAGAATGCCCTTTTTTGTTTTAAATTCTTACTTTTTTAACGGAGAAAAAGGATAAAGATTTCGAAGTCTCGAAAAACTCAAAAACTGGCGCTCTCATTATAAAAGTATTGTTTTACATAATATTAAAAAGGTTTAATTGAAAGAACGAGACTCTCATGTCCTGCATCTTGACATATTCTTTCAAATAGGAAAAAATCGAATACATAAAATGAACGTCTACGGAGATTTCTACGTTGCACGATCAAAAAAGAGAAAAAGATTTCATGTTTTTTTCTGAAAAATTGTCACGTATTGACGTTAATTTAGAAAATCGGCAGTTCAGATGATTATCTACCTTAATAATAACAGAGACAATATTTTCGTGGGGCAGAAAAAGAAATAAACAAGAACAACCCTCGAAAAAAACAGGAACAATCACACGTACATATGTATATGTATTGTCTTTAAAACCCGGTGACCATTTCGGTCTTAAACGGGAGACTGAAGATACTACATCCAAAAAAGACCAAAAAAAAAAGTAAGCATGAAAACGGAAAAAAAGAACGAGGAAAAGGAAGAATGGAAGAAATGGGAAGAGAAAAAGAAGCGTAAATAACAATAGAAGAAAGAAGAAGGACAAAAAACGAAAACACAAGGAGGAAGGAAGTAGAGCAGAGTGGGAAATAGACGAAGATATGACACAAATACTCCACTAGAATATCTTGGAAACAATAAAAAACTTTCAAAATCGTGTTTATCCAACTTCAACATCGTCTTCCGTCCCCTGTGACGACATTCACCTAGTTAGATAACCCACTATATCGACATGAGGAATAAATTGTTTAGATCTACGTATACAATGAATTCATGATTTTTGTTTCTCCCACTGAGATCTATACATATTAGGAGAAAGTTATCCAACAATCAAGTAACCATATCGTGATTTTGTGAGAGCTTTACAGTATTTCACCCAATATTTATCGTATATATCATCCAGTGATCATTTTCCATAAACAGACGAAAAAAGAAACATGTCTTCTCAATAAAGATGTCAATAAACATGTTTAAGTGACTTATAGTAAAAATGATTAAGACTCTCGCGTTCTAAGTCCATGAAGAGCGAATAAATTGAAGAATATTGCTAGCGAATGAGCAGCAATACAATGGCAGAGATATTCCAACATATGCTAACACTGATAAGGAAAATTCCGACAGTTATTTGTCACTAAATCGTAAAAACGCATAATTTTCAAGCAAGAAGTAACGGAAATCATGTAAAAAATGTTCCTCTAAAAACGGGGTACCGTATAAAAAAAATCATGTTTTTCATGATAATCAAAAGGTTTGTTTATTAATTGAATATATTCAAATTGATGATTTCTATCTTTATAATAATAATCGTATTTTTCGAACGTTGTTTCTCTTATTGTTATGTTATTTAAATAAGATTAGAAATTTTTTTTTTTTGAATAATTCTGTATGAGTTATTTATCGATAATTTATTTATATGATTTATTCTGTTTTTTTTCTAATGTTATTTTGTGACATGAAATATGTTAGCTGATTTTTCTACGAATAATATCAGAAAAAAAGTTAATTTACATTTGTAAAAAATAATGAAAACAGTCAAATAAAATTTTCATTCAATAACTTAACAATAAATTCGAACAAATGATTCAATTTGCTGTCTGCATATAGGACATGAATGAAGAGCGTATCCACAAATTACACAAGTACATAAATGTCCACAAGGCATACAAGCTAATTGTCTTTCTTCCGTAACACATATTATACATTCTTCTAATTTTGTTTTCGATGTTTTAAGTGAACTAATTGACATTTGATTTTGTGAAGGAATTATTAACTTGTTTGAATTTTCTTGGCAAGCATCAATTTGTTTTTGAAGAATAAAACAAGCCATTATTAGATCATTATCTGATGAAAAATCATCATGATTAATCTTCCATTGTTCTTCAAAACATCTTCTAACAATAGAATATGAATATTGTGTACGAAGACGTTGAGCAATAGGTAGATCAAGTCTTGCATTAACAAGACGCATAATAGTTTCTTTATCAATATTATGTTTTTCTATTGTTACTCGTTTTTTTTTAATTTGAATTTTAGCATGAAGTTGATCACCACATAAATGTTTAGCATAAAGACAATTAGGAAACCATCTAGCATGTTCAATTTTCGGATTATCATTGGTACCCCATTTATGTAATGATCCACCACAATAAAAACAAGTTACCGTATTTCCAATACCAGAATAAAAAAATCCAGCTTTTATTAAATCATTAACACTCGGTGAAGTTTGTGTCCAAGTATTATTATCAAATGATTTTTCTCGTTGGTTTATTTCACACATTGTTGTATGACGTGGCTGGAATTTTTCTGAAAGATTATGAGTTATTAATGGAGGGGCTTTATTCGATGATGATGATGATGTTATTGATAGAACAAAAGGACATTCAGGTGCAAGTCTTGCATGAACTTCATAAGGATCATCAGTATTTGTCCATTTATGACAAATTTTTTTACAATATATACAAATAACTCGATCGTTTACATTACAATAGAACCAACCATTGGATGACATAATTTTACCACTAGGAATAAAATGAGGCCAATTAGAATAGCTTCGTAAACGAGCTGTTTGAATAAAGTCTAATTCATTTAGTGAATGTCGTATCGTTGTAAAAGTACTATGTGGTATCGCTGGAGGTGAAGATTGATGACGATTTTCTTTTTGCTTTTTTATCTTACCGGTAATAGAAATACAATGTTGACGTAAGGATTTTTTTTTAATATTTCCCATTTCAATATTTTTATTGTTCGATATTTCGATGTAATGTTGAATAGTTTAACTTAGAAAGATATAGCTATGCACAATATGTATTATTATATTTAATATATTAAAGTTGGTTTATTCCAGTATTCATTGGGAACATAAGGGTTAACGAAAATGACGAAAAAATCTTTGTGGGAAAATAACTCGAAGCAATCTATTGACTCAGATGAATCATAGTTTACTAATTGCATATCAAAAAGAACGACAAAAGTAAATAGAGTAGATGTGTATGCACGTGATAATTTGAATCGTGCAGTTTTTCTATGAGTTTTTTGGTGGTGATGTCAACTCAATCTTACTTTGAAAAATAAAAATGAAGAAAGAAAAAAATAAAACTTATCTTTTATAGAAAAAAAGTATCATATAAGGAAGATGACAAAATAATACGATTGTAAATATAGATGGACATTATCGTATAGAATGTTGTCGATTGGAGAATCCGATAACTGTAGGTATCATCAAGGAAACTTAAGGCTTAAACCATTTTTTCAATGTTTTTTCAATTAAATTAATAAACCGATAACTTTTTTGTATGGCATTCGACATCTTCTCTAGTCTAAATGTGAATTAAGTTTTTCTTTCGAGTAACTCTCTCAAAGAAATATCATACCTTGATCGGATTATGCTCATCACTATCTTCTAACAATACTTGCCTCTTTGACTTCGGATTATTAGTAATTTTTTGAATCAATCTCAATGTTCTAATTGTAATTATTTTCAATATCATTCATCTACCACTTACTTCAATTCATTTCAAATATCAAAATGAGTCTCTTCAATTTTCATAATATTGTCTTTTCTTTATTCTAATTCATCAAAAATGGTAAGATAACATAGATGTAAAACAAACTGTTACTAATGGCTTCTTTTCATTTATCATGATGTGTGGCTTTTTTAGTCCTTTAATAATATTAGATAGCATAGTGTTAATGATAAAAGTCATGAATGTTGTTTTCGGTGAATATTATAAAAGACAAGGTTTTTCCGTTTGTTTATTTTTATTTTTAAAGATATAGATTTCCTTGTCTTTATCTTTACTTTTAAAAAAAACGTAAAGATAAATTTTGTACATCAAATTTTTGCTTATTGTCCTTTACTTCAAAGAAAAGCATTTTCTTTGACAATTATTAAAGATAATCATCTCTTAGAAGTAGGGGGCATGGCTTATAGTGATGCGTGAGCTGTGACACCGCCGACTGTTTCTGAACATTTGTCTACACGACGCCCCTCCTACTTTTCAAAAATTATGCACTTAGTGATCCATTTTCTGGGACTCTATACTTCTAGGCTTTCATCCTTCAGTCATGACTTACGCTTCTACTAGGAAATACTACGTTAGTGTACAATGTCATGTCTGAAGAATCATTCTAATGTATACATTATTCATACAGTCGAAAGAAAAACACGAGGCATTGTTTTTTTTCTTTTAGTAATGACAAGAAAGGTAAGAAATGGTTGATTAATGAAAATATTTACTCAAGTGGAAATATAAGAGTCATATAATTTTTTTCTTTTTGAAAATAGTTGCTCTTTTACTATATATAAATTCAAAATTGCATTGAACAAGACTATAAAAGATAAATATTATTTTTCATAGATACAATTATTCATGAGATTTTTTTATCAATGAAATAAACTAATAGTCGCATTGTTCTTCATGATTTTTAAATAGCTTCTACATTAACAAGCGAATTATCTCAAAAAGAATTGACAGTATTTTTCTAGATTTTTTTCAGTAGATTTCTTTTTATACATTTTAAATTGTATATTGCATCACTAAATGAATAAAATCCGAGTGAATGACAATAAGAGTGAGATCAAAGCTTGGAACGGGACATCAGTTGAGTGTGAGGATTTACTTTTCACAAATACGACTTTATTTAAACATAATTAAGATTTATTATATTCTATCAATAGAAAAACATAATGGTTTAAATACGTTTCAGAAAAAAAGTAAATCGTAGTTGTCTCTCGCTGGTTTAGTACATCTGTTTCTTGATGTATATTTAATATACTTTTTTCCAGACACTTTGAATCAGGGGGAGGAGAATAGTAAACCGGAGAGTTTTTGAAGTTTTTCAGTATCTTACTAATTCTATTAAATATCCTTTTACGTTGCTTAATATCTAATCAAATCTTTCGAAGTACCAGTCGCTATAGGAAATCCTATTGAAACTGTTGGCTGTTGAATTCTCGACATCGACTAAAAATTGATCAGACTTTTTTTTCTAATATACTCTATGCATTATTAGTTTAAAGACAATAGGATTCGAATTGTTTCCGTATCTCGTAAACAAAAAAAAAAAACTATGATGGAAAATTTTAGCAATTTTAAAAAAATACATTATTCATTTGCAAAAACATTGCATTAGATTTTCTATACATGGAAACGCAAACACTTTATTAGATCAATGTCTTCATAAGTATTTATTTGATTTTATATGCGACTATCGTTACATTAACCAGCTTATATGCTACCAGGGAAAAGAATAATTGCATTGTGTATTTTTAATATATCTTTACTCTAAAGACATACTGACACTGAATTATTACATATTTAAAAAGTGCTTGAAGGTTTCTATTCTCTTGTATGTTTATGCTTTAATGTGCGCTTATATGATTTTCAATTCAATAAAAACCCTTTCATCACTATTATTCATTCCAGAGTTAAATGGCCGTGGGCATTTTTTAAATAACTTTTGATAGGAATGAGATAGAGATTTGCTGTTTTCACCGTTGGAAAGAGCAGATGAAGATGCATCGAATTATATATAGAAGGATTTTTCTAGCTACTTTTCTATAGGTTTTACGTAAAACGTCAAGAAAAATGGCATGCTTGTCATGGTCCCGATATTAATTTATTGATTTTCAGGAGTGTGGTAGAGTCGCCAAAGGAAGGGCTACAAAACTATATCAAGACTCTGTTTCTAACTAGTACCAGTATGATATCCAAACCATCGGAACACAATTTACCACCTACTTTTTTCAACAAAATAATCGAAAAATGTAAATTTTTCTAGCATTTTGATAGAAAAGCCACCTTTTTCACGTAGAAGAAAAAAAGCAATTCTTTGAAAACGTTTGTCTAAACCTTTAGAAAAGTAGTTAGAAAAATCTTTCTATATACAATTCGATACGTCTTTATCTGCTCTTTCCCACGGTGAAAACAGCAGATCTCTATCTCGTTTCTACCAAAAGTTATTCAAAAAATGCCCACGACCATTTAACTCTGAAATGGACAATAGATTCTAAACGATTGAATTTTTTTTCAGTATTTTCAAAATTCATTTATTCAATTCTTTTATCAAAATAGAAGTACCTTTCTGTTTTTAGAAACAAATAAATTTTTACTGTGATAGAGCTTGAGATTCATCGTTATCTTATATATTGCCTTGTACATATTCCACGTAGCACATAGGACAAAAATACATAGGATGATAGAAAGTTTCAAGTTCTATCAAAACGTATATTTAGTTTTTTTTAGGAAAAAGGTATTTCTAGATTGATGAAACAATTGACGAAACATATTCCGATGACAGTAACAAAATTCAATCTGTTAGAATCGAGTGATGAAAGTGTCTTCATTGTATTGCATAGTATTTAAACACAAACATAAATATACACTGTGATAGAAAACTCCAAGCACTTTTTGAATAAGTAATCATTTTTTTAAACACGTTTTATAGAAACAATATATTTTAAATACGACGTGCTACTAGGTTTTTTTCGTACGAGTATTAATAGCTGATATGAATTCTTATTTTCTAGTTTTTAATTACAGTCGATTAATGATGTTTATAATAAATTCGATTATCTGTTCTAAAACAATACAAATATAATAATATTATATTGCCTTTTTAGTATTTATTAACAGAGAACTACATTCTCTCTCTTATTATTTTTTTTCTTTATTTTATTGTGTGACTTGTTTGCCTTCAAAAAAAAGGTAGTTGTCAAGGTAAGAAAGAATGAAAAAAAAAAAAAATGAGGAATAAAGCACTATTGATATTAGTTTTTTTTTCTTTCGTTCTGCACTTATTTAGATCGACGATCATGTACATTTATTTCTGCAAAATAAAATAAAATTGTTATGAAGAACGACAAGATATAATTACGGAGTAAAATTTAACAGCATGGTCTTAAAAAAACTTGTTCGTTATATCATTAATAAATATTTAAAAGATTATATTGAACAATTAGATTATGAAAAACTTAAACTTGATCTTAAAAATGGTAAATTTTATTGCATAATTTATTCATTTTTGTTGTTTTTTTGTTTATAAAGGACATGTTTGTTTGGAAAATCTCCATTTAAAACCTGAAGCTTTAGTAAGTTTTTTTTATTTGAAAATATTTATTTTATATTTATTCTATTTTAGACCGATCTGAGTCTTCCCGTCACTGTAGCTACCGGTTGTCTTGGTAAGTTTTACAATATTTTATTATATTAGAAACAAAATTTAATTATAGAAAAATTCACCCTAATTATTCCATGGAAAAATCTTTATAGCATGCCAACAAAAGTTCAAATTGATGGATTTTATATGTTAATTGTTCCAAAAAATGGTAAATGAATCATTTAAAAATAAAAAGTAGTTTTTATTGTTTCTAAAGTAACGTCATCTGTGGACTTTGACATATAGAATATAAAATAGCAATATTCTCCTTTTTCTTTTTCTTCGACAACTATACGTCATAGAATAGTCTTAAATGCCAGTTACTTTTCTTATTCAAATAAATAAATTTCTTAGATATTTTTCTTAAACAGCATATTTCTATCGATAGTTCAAAAAAATCGAAGAATATATGTATGTATATGAGAATAGTGGTATTTTTAAAATTCAAAGATTCGTAAATTTAAGAAAGAAAACCTTGTAAATTGATTGTATGTGATAATGACAAAGATTTTGTTTTTTAATGAGAGATACTCATTGGCATATGTCACGCTAAAGACATTTGCATTTTTTTTCACTTTTAACACATGTCATGTCGTGCATATTCAAGCACAATATTCTGAGTTCCATGAATAACTATGATGACAAAGAAAAGATTCTTTTTACTTTCAATAGATACTAAGAAATAGAAAAATTTTATCTATACTCAAAAAATCTTTCCGAAAACAAACTCGAATAATTTTACTAATTATATTTGTATCATGTGTATACTGCTTTTCTGTTGTTTTCAAACTTTTACAGTTGACTTGATCATTACTTTTCAAAGATTAACTTTGAATACAACTATTTGCATCTAAAATTTATTTTTATCTGCATATAAAAATTATATTTTTAGTTATAATATTGAACTGAAATCCCTGACAAGCATAATAAAAATAAATGAAGAGAAAAATCCTTATTAAATAAACGAGCAACAGGAAAAGAAGGAAAATACTTACTTTAGTTCGACACATAAAAAGGAAATCCGTATGACGTTAGAATAATAAAAGAAAATAATAGTCGAATAAAAAGAATGCTTCATAAGTTTCGGTCATGTTTTTATTTGCTTTTGTATTTGTATAATATTCAAAGATAGAAAATCGATAAATACGTATTTTTAATGAGTAGTACGTAAGCTATTATACCAATGAGAATGTAATCAATATGCAATTATAGTAAAAAACATAAGTTTTATGCACTTAAACATATTTAAAAAAACGTTTTTACATTAATTTTTTACTTACTTTGAATTCGAGTGAAAAGAAAATAGCAGCAACTTGCTCAAGTAGTCGATGCAAGTTATTTTTATCGTTCTTTTATTGTTAATTTAATATTGACCTAGGTTTGTGTAGCGAATTTTGATATGTTTAGGATAAAAATAATATTATTAAACATTTTTTTCCTATAAACATTTACCAATTTAGTTTTTTCTTACTATTGACATAAGCTAATTGATGGTCTTTTTCGATGATATTGTAAATGTTACTCTTTGCATATATATTCATCTTCAGATATTTTCAAAATTCACTAAAAATAATGAAAAGGGGTAGGAACTTATGAAATACTTCTAAATATTAATCACTTCAGCTCTTGCTACTTTCAGATACATTATTCGAATTGGTAAATAATTATCAAATAAACAATGTTCGATTGTCAGGGTTTCTAACTATTAAAGCAATATATATATATATATATCAAGTCTTAATAATAAAATATTTCTACAGCTTCGATGAACTTAAATATAATAAATGAGAAAGGAAATTTAATACTTATTGAAAAATTTTATTTAGTTTGAAAATCCATTAGCTGTAAGTAAAAATTACAATTAGTCTTCCTGCAAAGATCATAATGGAATAAGACTAACAGTTAAATAAAGCCCCCGACACATTAGAAGACCCGGGGTCTTCTATTCTGTCTTACCGTTCACAAGTTAAAAGGGGGGTCTTCTATTATGTCCCTAAAAAGGGTCATATTTTTTGGCAGCTTTGCCAAAAAATCTTACTTTCATTTGATTTTTGTTCCTGATATCGTTAACAAATGAGTTTTTTTTTACTTGTTTCACTTGTGCAGGGTAAAAAAACAAATATTATCTCGTGAAAAAGGGAAGACCATGCTGCGTAAGAAGTATTCTTAGGAGATATAGTCATTGTATCCCAACATTTTGGTACGATATCTGTTAGCGTTCTTTTTTTAAGGCTACGACCTATCACTGCAATATTTTATCTTCCCGATAACTAAATAAGTGCAAAAAAGAAAATTATTTTTTTTATCAAAATCATTTAATTCAGTTACTTATGTGAAAGTTTGATTAATCCCTTCCCCCTCCCTCTTTCCACAGAATGGAAGTCCAGGGTGTGCTCCTGTTCCGCAAGCTATAACTTTGCAATGATGCATGTTCCGATAAGAGTTTTTGTGTTATTTGATAGAAAAATGTTTATTCTTTCATTGTTCATCGGCTTTAGTTCATTTTTCATAACGGGAACCTCGATTGTCAACGGAGAATTCTAACCCACCTGATGGGGTTCTATTCTATGAGGGAAGAAGTTTAGTATAGATGGAAATCGTTTACGATGAATTCTCCTACCAGCATAGTTATAAATCTCAAGCTAACTTCGATAAGTATGACTGTCTTATTAGAAACTATTTATAGAAAATCTGTGGTTGAATATACAATCCGTGGTTTTTTTGCATCTGTCTTGAAGATGCCTTTGGGTCTTATGGAGAAAAGAAATAGGTTCGCAAACTCTAAGGAAGTATTCATATATAAAATCATGACGTACCTACATGAAGTTATATTTTCTTTTGTTATGGAACACTGTTTTGTGATTCAAATGCTTCTGATTCTCTAGAAGAAAGTCGAAGATAGAGAGGTCTTTGTATTAATACACATCAACATTTTACCTAGTCTTTTACTAATGTGTAAAGATCTCTTCATGCGTTATACGTGCGAAAATGTACCCTACTCATTAGATCCTGTTTCCGTGAAAGCGTATTTTTCGTGCATAGAAACTGAAGAATATTTGTAAATTAAGCTGCAAAGGAGTACTGAAATGACTCCACAAGATGTTGTTAACAAAGAAACACAATCTTTAATAGATAGATCTTTCCTATAAACTACTTCGCAAGATTTCAGTCGCTCGGATTTGGCACTTTGTTATAAGAATAAAAGGAAAATATTTTTCGTATTGAATTTAGACATAATTATGAACTTAAATACTAAAAAGGTGAATAAAATCCAGGAACTATTTTAAAATATCGGTTTTTTAAGGGGAGTCTTCTAATATGTCTGTTGCGTCATTGATTTAAGGGGGGTCTTCTATTATGGGGGGGTCTTCTAATATAGGGGGGTCTTCTAATGTGTCGGGGGCTTTATACATTGTAAGAAAATCGACTGTTTTCTTGTGTCGCATGAAGAAATGAAACTTTTAGAGTAGATTCCTTGAATGATTGCACAAAGTCACCGCAGTCAAATCTAAAAACCGTACGAAATATGAGACTCAAAGCCTCGATTTGGTCAAAGTAAAAATTAGCAAGCGAGGATTATAGATCATTGCCGACCTAATAATGTCATATGCATTTTTGTCTAATAAGACGAATCCCAAGTGGCCTAGATATGTAACAATAACATCAATCGTAGAGAAAAATGTTCAGTACACAAAACTCTCTGCATGTAAGCATATTGTCCGCAGTAAAATACGCTTCTAGCATTCTTGTTTTCACTTTAGTAAAATTGAGGTCTTCTCTCTCAAAGCCCATATGCAAAGTTTTTATTTTTGTACTGATCAGTCAAAACGTCTACCGTCAAAAATATAGATTTTTAAACTAATCAAGAAAAAGGTAAACTTTTCTGTAATGTCTAAAATGAACAACCAAGTATCTAACTTTCTAACGAAAAATGCTTAGCTAAACGAACATTCTCCTTTAGCCGTTCCAGTGCATGTCGTATCAAAACTTTCACAGTCACATCAGCAACAGACTCCTTACTTCGTGTTTCCTCCTCCTCATCGTCGTGATTATTTTACTTGTACTGATTGTGGTGCTTATTCTTGTGGTGGAGTTTATTCTTCTGTTTGCAATGTATGCGGTGGCGTTTATTCTGATCCTCCGCGTGCTATCCGATCTCGTTATCTTTGTACTGGGTGTGCTCGCCGTTATCCTACTTGCACTTGTGATCGCCCTCCTGCACATATTCTCCATACTCCTGTTTATTATAATCCTTTTGTTTATCGTAACCCTCCGGAATATTGCTGGTGTGAGTGTTGCACGTGTTGTAAATATTCATGCTCATGTTCATGCTGTAGTTTTTTTTGCGAGTGTTTATCTGCCAGATGTGAGACCTTCGATCCATGTTGCTATTGCACTCGCGTCTGCTGTCCAAAACAAACTTTTTGTAAAACGCGTTTTTGTTTCTGGTTGTGATTATTCATTTGACGCGTGATCTTCAATCATGAACGCAACTCGAAATCTTTGACAGAGAATGAGTGGAATATTTGAACGAAATTCTCGTGGTGCCCATGCTCATGCTCACGGCCATGATTAACCTATTGACTTTGTAATCATTTATTTGTTATATTATCTCCAAATCATATTGTCCACTTAAAAGTCTTAGTTAGAAGTGAGTCAAATGTTTGACCTTACTATATATCATCATCGTCATCCTTTTTCGTCTTCAAACATTCTCTATTCTCTATATCGTGTTTGTACTCTTTCGTCTCTCATTAAATAAATTTTCCTTTTGACTTTTGATAATGTTAACTAAACTATTTGGGATCAAAACTAATCGTTTCGATGAACTATCTTGAGGATGCGAATGTAATGACGAGTTCTTGTGTTTTCCACCCAGACCCACACAATGCAGGGAACATATGTGAACCCCATTTCGTTCCAAAGGTAAACTTTTTTTTCAATATTTTTTTTTATCAATTTGTAGAAAATCAGAAGTCACATAACACATATAAAAAACTCAGTTTGGACTGGTTTGATTTTGAAAAAATGGCAACAGGTATGCTGTCAAAAATATATCATCATGGACACATAAATTACGACCTATTCAACTCATGCTGCACTGTATAAGCTCATTAAATAGATGATGTACAATATTTGAAATAGCTCATTTTGTTCAAATATTCATGCTGCATTTTTTGGTACACAGTATGAAAAAATTCTCTAACTTGTTAGGGTATAATCCTAGTGAACGTTTATGAGGCCATTTATCACCACTCTCTCCATTGTAAATTTGGATTTCATGGTGACAGATGATGATCTTTTGAATGCACATAACAAAAATCAAAAAATTAAATTTTCACTAGTGTCTCGACTTTTTGGCACTCTCATGAACCATTTCTTAAGTAATGCTCTGAAATAATTTTCCTTCTATCTTTGATCAAAAGTTCATGGGAATTAGTCGACTGAAGAATGAAGTCTAGACTTGATGCGTTTCTATTTCGTGGAGCTCAGAAATTAAAGAACAATCAGTTGAAAAATGCGTGTGGAAATCGATGAGTGAGTTTTCTTTACATGTTGACGAAATCGAACAAGTCGCATAATTTTTCATGCGCAGAGACGATCTTATCTAAATGCAATTGTCACTACAAGAGACAGAAATCTGTGCAGATCTGTCTATTTTTAATTTCTTTTCGAAAGATCTGTTAAACATGATATCGATATTTTTTTATGAGTCTTTACGTGCCCTTATCGTTGAAACACCGATTCTCTTTCCTTTGTCTCTATTGTAGATCATAGTAGATATAGTACACAACAATGGGTACAGCCGCAAGTAATAAGAAAGTGACACAATACGACACAATTCGACAATTGCCAACAATAGACCCCCTGAGAAGACAACCTCCGTTGCAGCCAACTCAACGAGTTCCGAATTCTTTGCCACGTTCGCCAACAATACATAAATCGCAACACAAGTCAAGACAACAAGATGAAATAATGTGGCCACTACCACCAAATGAATACGATGGAAAGTTTAAGGCAGCTTGGCCCGAGGATGAGAAACGGTATTCATTAAAAAGAGCATATGATGCGAAGGTAAATTCATACTGTGTTTACTTGCTTACATGTCATTTTCTTACATTTTCTAATCTTATGAGATGCGCAACTTCTTATGTTTTCTTTACAAGTAAATTTCTTTGAATTGGGCGAGTCAAGGTTCAAAACAGGGAAATGGGTTCTATTCATAACCTGCAAATGAGACTTATTTAAATTGAATTTTGTTGTATTTTCTTGTTTTTAGTTACCACAGATATCAGAGTGGACCGCCACAACAACAACAACTACACGAATCACGAAATCTGATTCAAAAGAAACCAGTACTAGCCAATGGAACAAAGTAAATTCTTGTATTTATGATTCGGCCCATGTTCAATCGACATTGACAGCCCAATCACATTCGCTCATTAATTTATCAACAGCCGAAGAAGTAAGCAAGCTCATGGTTAATCTCAACAACGCCCATAGGCGACTTGATGGAATTGTCAAAGATCGACTGCAAATTATATCAAAAGAAACAGAAATAATAATCGGACAAATCACCACCGACACACATGATATACAATTAAGTCTTTTGTCATTTGCCAAAGCACGGCAGTCACAACAAGACGAGTTATATCGCGAGTGGCTGCAAAAATATGTTGTCATATTGGATGGATGGAAGTCGGCACGGTTAGCTAAATTGCAAGAGGAACTGCAAGAATATCAGAGAGCAATAATCACTTATTCGCAAAGAAGAATTTCATCTGTCAATACTGAAGCGAATAAAATCAAGTCACTAATTTTGAGGGAAGAGCAAGAGAAGGCATCGCTTGAAATCAATGCCTTGATGGCGCAAATCGAATCGCTTTCAACACATCAAATACTTCAACATATAGGCAGCGAAACAATGACGAATATGAATCTAACCATACTCGCGAATGTCGGTAGAAAAATGCCTGGACAAGGCGCTGCGTTCGACTTTGATCAGCACGGCACCATTGGCGGGAAACAAGACGGTACAGTCATTCAACCGATGGATAGGCATCCACCGAAGCCGCACACATACGACAAAGTCCAAGTGAATGCTATAAAAGCAAGAGCTATTGTACGTAATAAGTCCGAACAAAGTGAAGCGAGAACTAGCGAAAGCGAAGATGATGACAATTCTCAGTAAATTAATGATGCTAGGACTTTTCTTCACCAACACCTACATTCACATCCTCGTGTTAAAACAGCATTTAATTTTTATTTTAAGTTAAGAACAAATATTGATTTAATACTGAAATAATTAATATTTAATGCATGAAAAATAGTCATTTTTGTATTAGATGAAATCAATTTATATTAAAACCGAAATTTATCATTAGTAACAATAACATTTGTGTAAAATATGTGCGTACTATTTAAAGACACATATCGATACCGTCATGAATAATATCTATTCATTTAACACATTTTGATGTAGAAACAAAAGTATTTCGATTCAAATTCAAGTAATTATGTATCTGAACCATTATAAGAGATGTGAAGTGTCGATTTGGATAGCCTTCGAGTGTCGAAATCTGTCATCTCTTTATTGTCACTCACATTCATACCCTGATAGTGCGCAGAACAAGTATGACAGAGATTGACAATTATTCATTGTAGTATCAATCAGTTCGTTTCTAGTCATTGTGATTCTCTATTATTTTCTACTTGCATAAGACAATCAATCCTGAAAGAACACCTTTTTTAAAATTCAGATTATATTTTTCGTCGAAAATAATTGTAAAATTTATCGAAGAGTCAAAGACAATCCTAAAAGCTGTTTTTCTATCTTTATTTTCTCTGTATTTACTTCGAGTAGATGTAACTTGAGAGAAGCTAACATTAAATAAGCAATGTGAAGGTATAGTTGAAATCATCTAAGACATCTTTGAGAGATATCATCTGTCAATTTTCGATGATACTACTGCAACTCTTTCCAGTCCTAATAAATGCACAATATATTCTGGCATCGCTTTTTCTTATTTCAAAAATATATATCAATGTATTCTCCGACTATTATGAAAAAGCTCATAAACTTAGCTAAAACTACTCTTGATGCAACTCAATTCGGATTTATTCAAAATAGATAATTGTAAGTCATATGCATTTTCGTGCGTTGAGTATAAGCTTTTACTTTTAATGGTTTTATGGTCATGAGTACCGAAACCTAGTATCAAAATTATTTTTTGATATTATTCAATATATCAAGAGATTACATGTCGGATAAGATAAATGAGAAATAGGTATGTTCACAACTGTTCCATAGGTAACGCACTCATTCATTTTTCATCTTTGGATTGTCATAAATTAGCAACTTAGTGTGACAAAGAGCTGAACCTTATACTGCAACAATTTATGTGAAAGTTCTAATTTAACTAAAATTTCACTTCATTTGACTGAACTATGGCGGCTTTACAAGAATAGAACGCCTGAGTGGCGCACTCGTCCACAAGGACCCTTTTCATTAGGGTTAATCGAAAAAGCTCCTATTCCTTGTAATTTTCTTGCTTTGAACAAAATATTTTCATTCGTATTTGTAACTAAGACAGCAGACCTCACCATGGTGAAATTTATTTTTGTAAGTCTCTTCTTAAAAATAGTTATCACGAAAACATTATAATAACGCACGCAGTCATCTATTTTTTTTTTAGACTGGCTAAAGGAGCATAGTCTTTACTACTTACCGTCTTCATGGCTGAGTGGTCTCGTTGTACAACACGAGATCACAAAGTACTGTGTTCGAACTTTGATACTAACAGCCATGGAATGACTTTGAACAAAGTCTCTAAGGATTATTGATCTCATATCACTAGCTCAATAACATGATGACTACGTTGTGACAGTTGAAAAGTAAAGACAATCAGTACCTTAGTTTCCCTCATTTTTAAAAAAGGAATGCTTACTGTTAAATGACGACTACCATTTATTTTCGCCATTATTCAAAAACAAAATGCCATCTATAGATGTAGAACATACGAAAACTTGAAATTGTTTCATGTTCGAGAAATTTTGTGGTAAATTATGACCAAGCATGGTGCTTTTCAGTTTGACAGAATGTTCAGATATGATTATTTTAATCATAAATTAATTTCATCAAATTGCAAAACCTTCTGCCGTCTCCTCCATCATCACTCGTTCTCTTTTTTCTGGCAATCCTCTCTCCCTTTCCTGTGATGAAGTCTTAAGTAAACAGTCTTTTGACACAGTTAAGAGAAAGATCAGTATTAACCGAATAGAAAAGTAATGTCGCAACCAGTTTGATTGCTACGCCAGTGACCAATGAAAAGAAAAATGTTGGGTTTTTTCAGATGATCGAATATTAATGGGTAAAAAAAGATTATAAAATTCTTTTCTTTTAGATTTTTATAGTATTGATTAATTTTAATTCGATCGATTCATGGATGTTAATCGTGATAGTAAATAATTTTAACGTTGAAATAATTTTATATTAATAATTATTATTATTCATTTAGATTTTTATGATGTTTTACCAGAAATTTTAAATGATATAAATAGTGCTGATTATGTAGCAATGGATGGTGAATTTACAGGAATATTAGCATTGGATAAAATGAATTATTTTGACACTCCAGCTGAACGATACAAACGTCATTATGAAGTAAATTTGTTATTTTTTCTTTTCATATAAATATGTTAAAATGTTGAATTATTTATTTCAGTGTGATAGACATTATTTAATGATTCAAGTAAGTCTTGCAATGGTCCGATGTTTAAATCCAACAGAAAATCAGTAAACAAAAATGAAACAACAAGATTTATTTTTAAATTTCTAATAACGCCTTGTTTTTTCTTACTGTCTTAGATATTCATTAAAAGCTTATAATTTCTATTTATTTCCTGAAAATGAAACAGATGCATATGACTTTCAATCGAAAGTAAAGTTGAATCAAATTTTTCGAAAAAAAAAAATTCTGTAATTTATAGAGCTCATCATTACAATTTCTAGCGAATAATCATTTCGATTTTGTTCAGTTATTTCTTCAAGGTAATTTAAATATATTCATAACATATTGAAATATTTTTCTTTTAGGAATTCCTTTTGTCTGTAGAGCAAAACATTTAGAAAAATTACAAAAATCACAACTATCATCATCACGTCATAATAATCAACAAATATCTAATAGTAACAACAGCAATGAAAAGTAAAAGATTTTAAATTCTCATATAAATAAAGAATTTTTTTTCGTTTATTATAAAAGAAAATCTGAAGCAATGACAAATTCATTAAAACAGTCTGAATCTAATAATTTATCAGATACAGATTTCTTAAAAAACTCTATGACCGGGTTTTCAGAAGTCATATGGTATGTTTTCAATTCATTTTATTATTTAAGATTTAGAAAATATTTGTTTTTTTTTTTCTTGTACAGGAAACTACAAGAGTCTGTAAGTGATTGTATTGATATTGATGGTCATTAAGAACGATGCCTAGAGAAACGGTTTTTTGTTGGCTTTGAATTTACGGAGTATAAAGTAGAAATCGAACCGATACTATCAAAGAAGTGCTGAAGTATAAGAATACAAATTTTGGACTTTTTTCCACACAAAGCATGCAAGACTTGATTGATATACGATCACAGATCATATATCAATAACATCGTGTAAACAGCAACCCTGTGATTAGCAGTAGCAGCTACATCGTATTTCACCTCTCGGTTATGTGTTCATGGAAACTTAAATTAGAAGATTCTCATCTAAAATTTTCGAACAATCCTAACGGTCTTGAAACTTATTTATAGATGAAATTTCAGGTGAAAATTTTATTATTGCAGTTTCCATGAACAATTGACCTACAAGCTCGAAAAACTCAGAAGAACGGTCATAACGATAACCAGATAAAGCATGAACTCGAATTCTCATAATAAGTCAAATATGAACTTGATCAGCATTCAACATTTGGAGATGTTTATTCATCAAAATTGCTTCGAACTGAATTAGGTTTAGGTCTGCAATAGATCCCGCACGTTTTATTTCTGATTCATCATGTTCGATAAAACATTAGACGAACTACTCATCTCTGATTTATTATTTCTTCTGAAAAAGTCTTGATATCAGAATAAACAGTGTTTTTTTTAGGGAAAACCTGTAATCGGACATAATCTTCATTTGGATATGCTACATATAATTAACCAATTTTTTACACCTATACCTTCTGTATGTAAATTACATTTTATTTTTAAATTTAATTCTTTTTTCTTATTTTAGTCTTATGATGAATACAAATCCATTGTTAAATCTTTATTTCCTAGGTAAATATATTTAATAACTAATCAATGTTGATTTTCTTAAATATTTTTTTTTTAAGAATAATCGATACAAAACAATTGCATCGACATCAACTTTTCAAGTAAAATCATTTTAAAACATATATATATATATTTATTTATTTTAATTATTAGGATATTATTTCAAATACAGCATTACAAGCTCTTTATAAAACAGTTCTGGAACCATCATTTCCAGCATGTCGTTTTGGTATACAAGATTACATGGATATTCTATATGTGTGTGTAATATATTTTTTCTCTCTAGAAACTTCTGATAATTTTCAGTATGCATCACGTGAATATGAGCATACAGCTGGTTATGATGCTATGTGTACAGCTGTTTGTTTGACTAAAATGATGGCATTTATTGGTAGAGAAAAATCTTTTTTTTTTGTTTGATCTTATTTGAATTTTGTTCTTAGCTGAAAAAACTGGTTTTAAACAAAATCCAATTGAACATACATTACTTAATACATTCAATGGGAAGTAAGTTAGAAACAATTTTCAAGGAAATTTTTAAAGAAAAGAAAATATTTTGTAGAATATTTCATATGAGTTCATTTGATTTTAAATATTCTGATGTACTTAATGATGATGGTGAATAAATAATATTTAATAAGAATAGATTTAAATATTTGTTTTTTTTTATTAAAGATTTACCTGATCGATCCTGCGTTTTTTATGTAACTCATCCTCAAACATGGCCAACAGTAAATATACATGAATATTTTTCTCAATGGAATCTGCTTGCTTATGATCGATTGGATTTAACAACACATATTATTGCAGTATCATTAAAAAAAGGCACAAAAGAAAAAAGTAAATATTCAAAAAATAGAATAACAATTAACACAATGTCTGCTGTTGCTAATCAATGAAAGATTGTTTTAGTCTATCTATTCTTGAATACATTTAATCATATTCTTTTACTCTTTCCTTCAAAATGAAATAAGGAAATAGTTCATATTCAATAATGAGATGTTATTAATATATGGTCTTTCATCATATATGAAGAAGATCTGTGGAGTGGAGGAAATGACTGTTGATACAGTATCTGTCATGAATAGGGTGGACGTTGCTAAATCATCTGCCAAGTTCTGTGATGGTCTCTGACTAGCATCTGTCAGAACCTATAGGGGGATTCAAATTTGTACCCGTATCCTTCGACACTTATTGTACATCATGTTCCAAAAATAAAAATAGAAACGGTTACAAATAATTTCTTCTTTTTTAGTGTTGACAAAAATGCGTGCAAATGACAAAAATTTAATAATTACTTCTTATGCAGAATATAATCGTCTTGATTATTCGAAAATAAAAGTTAAACAACCTAATAATCTGTTTGATATTAATCCAAATAATGGAAAATCTAATAAACGAACTTGTAATAATCAAAATACATTTACTACAACTACAATAATAGCAACTGTAAGTTCTTTAGCTTAACTTCGAAAATGAAACTTTTTGGTTTTTATTTGTCTTTATTATAGCCGGTGGATATTTCTCCTGATCCAACAGAAAATCCTATACAAACAACAAGAAGAAAAAGCAGAACAAGTTAAAAAACAAAGATTATTTGCATATGATGATGAATGGTAAAAGTTAATAAAATAATTTTGTTTTTTTTCCATTCTGTGTATTTTTTCAGTAAATATAAAATTCGATTGTTGTTCAATAATAAGAAAAAGTTTTCTTGAACCACGTTATAGTCAATTTGATTTTCATGCTACATTTGTATAATATTAAACAAATAGATAGAGAAACATTAAACATTTCTTTTAATCATACTTGAGAAAAATTATTCAGTATATATATAGTCAAACAAGAGGAATCCTTGGATGAACGGCAGAGTTGGAATCGGTGCTGGCCTGGTACAGCATACTTTGATTGATTCCATCATTAACGATTATAAAGTAGTTTCTGATAATGACTATATCTCTGTGTAATGGTGTAATCACGATTCTGATAAAGGGGTTTAGCATGATCAGATTCTTCAGAAGGCCTCAAAGCAAATTTAGGCCACTGTAGATTCGATCGATAAGGTGGCTCACAAGGAGATATTCACAGCTATCAAATCGCTTTTCACTTAAGTGCAATGCCATTCGATCAAACATCATGAGTAGTAAAAGAATTCTATTTCGGTTTGGTTTTCGGGTCTTTGCTTGCTGATTGATGGGTGTATTTTACTCGAATTGTACCATTTGAGCGAAAAATCCCTGAAAATCCGGAGCGTGTGGATGCGAGTGGAAATGTGAATGTAACGGGATCGTCCTTACATACATCTTATCCATACTCACACCCACACACCGCATCGTTTATTTAAAGCATAGACATATTAGTAAAAGTAATAGATTACTACTTTGTCTGATGTTCTGAGTAATAATGGTCTTCGCTCGCTATCCATTGTTTGGCAATGATCTAGAAAATCATTTAATTCGGTGCTTTTTCGGCAGATTTATCAAGAATTACCATTTGCTGTAATGAATTTTATATTAAGTGGCATATTAAAGGTTAGAAAAATAAAAAAAATAATTTAATTTAATAATTCTTTATAGTAGAAAATTCGAACAAATAAAAATCCTGAACAATAGAAGCAAAAGCATTTCATGTACAATTATCAGTTTTCATTGTTGGAGGCTTTTCCACTTCCTGCCTATGCATGTTATATGGCAATAATAAATATGAATTCGAATAAGTTCAGAGAAGATAAGGAAGTCAACAATGATACTAGATATAATTGTCATTAAGTTTGTTTTATTGTCGTTAAATGAAGAAATTCAACCTTGAAATAAATTCACAGTTTATTTCACGTCAAAGTATAACTTTTTTATTTACTTAAATAATAGGGTTGCTCAGATGACATCAAGAAAATATTCATTCTCAAACGAAATCATATTTTTGAATACAACAACTGGTTAAACCTCTAGTAATAGTATAGAAGAGCAATAAAGTAAATTTTGAATTTAAATTTGAAAAATATAATTTTGCTCAAAGATTTTAGACTAATGCCTTTATGCATAATTGAAGAATGTACAAAGGTTTTTATCATAGGAACATCATTAAAGAAAATTTACTTTCGTCAATCAGTATTGAATTTAATAAGACTTGTTAAATTTCATACTTTCATACGTTCATATTCTATTCCTCGAAAGATTGCAACGATACATTAGGGCTGATGAACATCATTTTGAACATCTCGATTGAATTATGCTATCAGTGTCGTCTGTGTGTGTCATTTTAACTTTTGAATATATATGTTGTGTTGATTATTCTCGCTGTTATAGGTCGGTAAGATCGATTGAAATTTTCTCAGTTTCCTTTTTTTGTAAATTGATTAAAGATTACCCAACGTATTAAGTTGAGTATCAACAATTGAAAGCGATGCTTATTGCCCGTACTCACATAAAAACATCCTTTAGCATTAATTATATTATTGATGGAAGCATCAGCTCATTAATTTCGAACACAAGGAAGAATTAACATTCGTGACTATTTCATGTATTCTGACAGGCTTTTTTCCACTGAAATCTGGAATAAACCTATATGACATAAAATCATTTCAAACTTTCCAATAAAGCTAACACTTTTCTATTGATTTTAAGTAATGCATGACGATGAATAATATTTCAAATATTAGTTTCTTGTGTTGGATGTTGTACGCTTCTCCGATTCTTCTGTGAAAATTCAAAACAATGTGAATAGAGTAACATGTATGATTCGTAGTATTAGTATATTTGGTACCCAATGTCATTCAATAGATAAAAGCGAAAACAATATATTTCTCGGATGTTCTTTTAGTTTTATATCCAATTGTTTGCCCATATATAATTTCTATTGATTATTCTAACACTATGGAAAAAAGGGTGTGGGCGTTAGTGGGTCTGTGTGATCGTTTTTTTATTCATATTTCAAATCCACATTTACACACCACATCTTTGCTTGCTAAACTTTCATATATTACCAACTCAAACAAATCCTGTCATCTTTATTGACAAAACAATGCTTAGCAAAAAGTCTCTAGTGGCCAAAGTTACTGTGACAATTGCAGATTCTTTTATTATATCATTTTTTACAACTTTCGACAGTACTATTGACACTAGCATAAACATTTGAATATGGTTGGTATCTTATTAATTTTGGGATCATAGGTTATGCACATTTTTGGGGTAAGTCGGTTTTATAGAGAAACTCCAGGCATTCACTAAAACTTCACTAATAAATAGTTATAAACAGCGACAAATAAGTTTTCTTTTGACTCCATCTTGTAGAAGGCATGAGTATGGGGCTTATTTTGCACATCATATAACTACAATATGTCATTTTGTTAAACTGAAGTAGCTCTATAGTATGGAGTCAAAAGTGGACATTTTTGTAGCTGTTCACATTCAGTTGTCAGTAGGTTTTCAATGAACACGCGGAGTTTGCGCATAAAAGCTTCTTCACACGAAAATCAGTTTCACAGTCAAATCCAGGTATGACTGTGTGCAGAAGCAGATGTGGATCTTCTCTTCATTTGCAGTAACACCCATATCGAAGATCACACCCACAATTATTCTAGAAATATGATAAACTTTTGCTTGTCTTTGATAGTTTATTTTTTCAGTACTGAGCTGAACGGCTGTGCCTTATAGACATTTTGTTCAAAGTAAAAGATTATCTTTCAAATCATGTCTTTATATATAACTCATCAAATAAAATCATTATATTCATATGGAACGTTCAATGATGAATCAGGATGTGGGTGTGGGTATGGGTGAGTATTGGTATTGGCATTCGTCACTCTTCCACCAAGACTCCAAACCCACACCCTCAAATGACTATTTCTACGAACGAGGGTGACTACATCTCTTCAACAATTTCATATACTTAATGATAAAAACACGTTATTGTTATCTATGAATGCGTCATCTTTCTCGTCATTCCGCTCTTACTTTATCTTTAACCCTTTGGGTCCGGGCGACGCACATATGCGTCCTGGGATTTTACGCACTGAATACCTTTAAAAAACATGGTTGTTTTAGTTATTTAGTAGTAAAAATTGTATGAATATTTGTATTT